TGCCACCACGCCCAACTAATTTGTGTATTCTTAGTAGAGACAGGGTTTCACCTAGTCGGCCAGGCTGGTCTCAAACTCTGGACCTCAGGTGATCCACCCACCTCGGCCTCCCAAAGTGCTGGAATTACAGGTGTGAGCCACCGCACCCGGCCGTGTTTTTCTTTCTTCATGAGTAGTACATAAAATAATAGTGCATCCTCAAATTAATGACATTTAGATTTTATGTAAATGATATTTCATATAACATTTGGCAAGCTATAAGCAGTTTCTCGTCCCACATAGTACCTTTCTACTTTTGTTGGCATGGGGAAGAAAAAAAGTGTTGAATAGTAGATAAATTCATATCTGTAAGGTCCATGTTTTGCTAAATGGTTTAGGCACTTTAAATGTCATCGTAGGTACATAAATTTGTGAAAAGTTTCAGTGGAAAATTCAGCAACATCTACCAAGTTATACATTGAATATAGATTTTGCATAATTCTAATTTTAGAAGCTTGTCCTCTGGAAGTACCTGAACCAATGTACATGGGTATTCATGAGCTATTGTCTGGAACTGAAAAAAAATAAATTATAATAATCTATATGTTCATTTGACTAAATATACTGTAGTTAACTCATAAAATGAAATACTGTACCTACATTAAAAAGAATGAGGTCTATATAAAAATACAGAGACACAGCCACAAAATATTATCAAGTATAGTAATAAATATAGAATATTATACTAATACATTTGCATATGCAAACAATTTGAAGATATGTAAACCATCGGTAGTGGTTAAAGGGTAAGAATCAAATTATGGATAAATTTTGTTTTACATTTGTTATACTTTTATATTATTTCAAATTTTACAAAGATAATTTGAAGTAAATAATTTATATTTCTCTTTACTACAAAATTATAAACAAAAAATCTTTTAAAAAGATTTCTTATTTGATTCCCTAAAAAGTCTCAGAAGACAAAAATAAATGTACTTAACAAGTTGTAAGATATTTCATAAAACCTAGTTTGTTTAGTAAAACAAAAGCCTAAGTAGGCAAGCCAAATGAGAGTCATAAAAAAGATACCACAGTAAAGATTCCAAGTGAATATATGATTCAAAATTTACTGTATAAATCTCAAAGCAAATTTACATTAACAACTTTACCTGTAAAACTGAGTTTAGAGCACCGTCTTACAGTTTAGCAGTCACACTACATCATGATAGTTACTGACTTAAAAAAAAAAAAAAGTGGATCCTGAATTCTGAAACCTATCAAAACCCTGTAGACAGAAGGTACCCAACTTGTTATTAATGGTAGAATCAAGACAGAATGCATTTGATTAATAAATTCCCTTTGGAAAAAAGAACAAAAGTCAGGTTAGTGTCTTTTTTATTCTATCTTAAATTTCTGTGAATAATTATAATCTCAACTAAAAAATCACATTTTGCCAAACCTTTGTATTTTCTTTCATTGTAGATAGCAAACTCTTGATTTTGAATAGGTGAGTGCTGGTCTATATGTAGAATAAATTTGCTATTTGGAAACAAGTTTTTCTCTTCAAGAAGTGAAAAAAATTCAAATGGAGCTAAAATGATTTTAAGAAACCATTTGCTTCATTACTTTAATTTTACTGTGATTTATGCTACAGTAACCCAATTATAGTCTTACTGCTCAGAGTTAAAATGATCTTAAGAGAAATGAATTAGTTTACATATCAGGTAAAATTTATGTTCTGAAGAATACTCGCCTTACAATTATTCCTTAACTGACAATAATTTATTACATCTTTAAAAACTTCTAAAAGTTAATTACATATAATGCAATATCCTTAGTGATTAACTTCACATTTTAATGCACTATCGAAATATTGTCATTTCTAGTGTTGGGAACCTCACTGTTGATCTGGGTCAAAATTCTGTTGTGTTGAATGATCTATGTAAGCAGTGGTTGAAATCAGGGCGATGTAAGATAGATAAACAACTGACATTGCATCAATCATGGACAAATAGGAGCAAGTATCTGATAATAGGGGCATCTACATACCAAATCCCAGGCTGTCAGAAGCAGCATGCCAGACACTCTCTGATTCAGAAGTCATAAAGAGTGTTAGTAGAGGCAATCTGATGCCTTGGATAATTTAGTGAAATTTTCTCTGCTGGCATCTATGCTGGTCAACTGGCTGTTTGCTCTCAAACCAACCCCCTGCTTTCAACCTGCCTTGTGTGGTTTTTATGGGGAACTTTCTCTTCTGGCTTCTGAAAAGATTTGGTAAATGGCAGCCGTTGTTGGATGACTGGATGGTCAAAGGAAGACAGAAGCTAGCGTATGTATCTCCACCACATCTGTGGTATATCTTCCACGGTTTCAGCTTCGATGGAAAGGCCCGAATGGTTCTAGGGTTTACCTGCTGTTCTTGGTCTATGACAACAGAGGCTCCTCTTCTCATACCTCCAATCTAGGGACTGTAGCCCCATATGTACTAGGCTAGCTTTTTCTCATTTTGAAATAACCTTGATTTTATGATTGGGCCATGTTTACTGTAGGTTCTATGTGGGAAAAGAGAAGAAGTTTGCTCCTTGTCAACAAAAAATTTTCTCCATTCTGGAATAAGGGGGCTTGATGTCTGGCATTGCTATTAAGATGTAACAACTAACATTTGCAAAGAAGGATACAATTTACAACCACATTCAACACATTATCTGCAACTTACTATGGGCAGATATATCTTACACACAAAATGCTAAAGTGAAATTGATGTATAAGTTGCATATCATTTTATCATACACATCTATTTCGAAGTTACTGTGGGTGTTTAAACAGGAAAAAAAAAAGGGATAGCAATTTCCTCTGTTTTCTCTGTTTCTCAAATTAGGCTAATTGCATCTAGTGCATCTCTTTTGTTTCTGAACATAGGTGATAACTGGAAGCTCATGAGTTCAAAGTGGTGGCAATTAATCATTTTATATTCTACACTGTGTAAGAATGATAATACACATCAGACACATTGGAAAAGTTCGTACAATAGTACAACTCAATTACAATATAACTCTCCTAGACTGCTAGAAAATTCCTCTAATATAAATGATTCTTAGTGACAGGAAATGTCAACATTTTCTAGAATGTCTAGCACACATTCTAACCATTCAACTTTGATTTATGATGGCATATCATCATGTCAAAGGATACAAAATACAGGCATGTAGGATAAATAAGCCTAGAGATCTAATGTACAACATGAAGACGACAGTTAGTGAAAAAGTATTGTGTTAGGGATTTTTGTTATGTAAGTAGACTTTAGCTACTCTTGTCACACACACAAAAATGTAGCTGTGAGAAGATGGATATGTTAATCTGCTTCGCTATAGCAACTATTTTAGTATCTATGTATATCCCATAACATCATTTTGTAAACCTCACACATACACAATAAAAATTATTTTAAAAATCATGCACTATAATCCCCACATAGGATAAGGTAAAACATAAAGGGCTACGTATGATTTAAAACGATATTTTCATTTTACAAATCCTAGAAGGTCTTCTTAAAATCACTGCATATATACCTAGTCAAAGACTTAAGTATGTGTGTTTATATATATATAAATGTTATATAAACTATATAAATATATATATATACACTGTATATATATATAGTTTGGCACAAGAATATCACCTGTTTCAAATTTCTTCTCATAAATGATTCTCACAGTATTCATTCCCTCTCATATTTCCTAGAATATTTTTTGTTACCTGAGTTACTATATGAAGACACTCTAGTCCTTATTTAAATATCTAGAAGGCAGGAGGTGGTAAAAAATGTTCATATCAATTTGAGATTTTTTCTCATTTTTTCTCACTTTGTTTTATTTCTTTTCTTTGCTTTTACAGTCTGTTCATCTCGGGGGATTATTTGCCAAAAGACTGCTTCTTGTTTAAGGCACAATCTATTCACCTTCATTAACTACTGGATTCCTCGAAGTTCTATTTTCTGCTAGTATTGGACATTTAGCAAATCTTCCTCATCTGTATTTGCTTGTATCACATCTCACCATTTGGCAAAGCCATTAAAGTTTTCTTGTATTGATTCCTTGCCATACAACAACTTACCTGTAGTACTGGTTTATTAACATCAAGCAGCTTAGCTGTGCTACCGAAGAGCACCAGGTGCCCCTCACTGACAGTAATTCCAAAAGAGCTAAAAACTAACGTTGAGCTGAAACTAATTTTCTCCTCTGATTTAGCAAATGAGTGCTGCTTTTATTACCCTAATTGTATTTTACTCTTGTGTTTTTGAAAACCATTGATTGATCCCATTGACAAACCAGCTTATCTGTCTGATCCAAAATCAATGTTTCATTTCACTGGCTTTAGCAATATTGCTTCCTTTGCAAAAAACATTTAACTCATCTAGAACTAAGCTTCAATTTATGATAAAAAAATGCTACCGAGACAAACATCTCATCTGGACTCATTCCTTGAAACTTAAAGCTTGCTATTCCTGAATTCCTCCACTTTAAACTGTGATTGTATTACATCATTCAGCATGTGTTTAGTCAAGAGAGGTAACTTCCTCAGCTTCAGTGTTTTTGTTACATCACAAATAAAAACTTTGCTCTTTAGAATTTTTTTAAAGCTAAATATTTGTGAACAAATGATATGTAAATGAACATGTGTGTGTGTGTGTCTGTAAGAAATTTTCAGCAGTTACATTGTTGAAGAGTGGTTTTTATTATGTACAAATTGTACATATAAAGAGTAATCATAACACTTCTCTTTAGCAAATGAGATTTTTTTTAATTCATTGGAGAAAGATCTCAATATAGTGGACACAGGGCCTTGTTAAGCCTTTTTCTAGAATTGATATGCACCAATTTTATTAACTATTCCTTTATTCATTCATTCAGATTACTGTTTTACATACACATGCAACAACATTAATCTATAAACAACATACAATATGAAAGCCTGAAATTCACTATCACATATGGCTTACCATGTTTTCCTGATGTTTTCAGAATTTCACGGTCCCTCATGGTGTCTCGCTCCAGCAGACAGAGGATTGTGTCGTGCCAATGAGAACAGATTCTACTACAATTCAGTCATTGGGAAATGCCGCCCATTTAAGTACAGTGGATGTGGGGGAAATGAAAACAATTTTACTTCTAAAAGAGAATGTCTGAGGGCATGTAAAAAAGGTATAGAAGATACTCCTCCCATTAATTAACTAGTGTTTAAGATAGCAATTGAATTTAAATGATAACCTATTAAATATGAAATTAATTATCTTTATTATAAGAAAGTATGATCTAGCTAACAAATGTCCTCTTCAATTACATTTAGATAATATTGCTAGATATATAACTGTAATTTCCTTTAATGTCTTCATAGAAAAAGAATCAATTTAAAACAAATTAAACATTTTATTCTTTTAATGTTCAAATACTAAGCATTCACTTTCAAAGACTATACCAAAATGGCTTTAAGTTTTCTTGTAAGACACAAAATTTTAACATATTTATTAATGTCTTCTGAATATAAAAGTAATGCATGTTTATAAAATACTAAGAAGAGTATAAAAATGCAAATACAAACTACCTGTAATTTAATCAACCAGACACAGCCACATTTCTACTTTTTAAAAATAAAGCAAGCATGCATTTGTAACAGAAGATGAATGAATAATAAAAATGAACGGCATGCTTATCCATTTTTATTAACTCATATATGCAAAGTAACTTCCTTAAAAATAGATTGTTCTACACGAATACATGGACAAATTAAAGGCTTTTAAATCAATAACATCTTTTGGATTTAAATATTGAAAGATACTTTGAGAGGATTTTAGATAAAATGTTTCATTGTGTTATTTTATCACACATTAACTTATTCCTCTTTCTCTTATAGGTTTCATCCAAAGAATATCAAAAGGAGGCCTAATTAAAACCAAAAGAAAAAGAAAGAAGCAGAGAGTGAAAATAGCATATGAAGAAGTTTTTGTTAAAAATATGTGAATTCGTTATAGCAATATAACATTAATTCTACTAAATATTTCATATGAAATGTTTTGCTATGATTTTCTATTTTTTCTTCTACTAAAATGCTTTTAATTAATATGTTCATTAAATTTTCTATGCTTATTGTACTTGTCATCAACACATTTGTATCAGAGCTGCTTTTCTAATCTTGTTAAATTGCTTATTCTATGTCTGTAATTTATCAACTGGCTACTGGGAAATTACATATTCTCTGGATCCTTCTGTATTTGCATTTTACTACAGATTATCATACTACTGGCTACATCAAATCAGTCCTTTGTTTCCATTTGGTGACCATTTGTTTGAGGATACGATCATGTAAATGATTATCTCCTTTATAGTCTGTAAGCAGATTAAGGAATATAGCTCTCAAAAAATCAAGAACTTCTTGAGTTTCACATATAAAATGGTGACAAACACCTGCTTCTGATAAAGATTATTCAATTGTGTATTTGAAAAGACTGGTAATAACAAAATTCTATTATGTTCTTCCCTCCTTAGACATAGCTTTTCTCCTTTTGTACTAACCAGTACTTCCATCAATATTGAGCTAAATTGTCTTTGAACAGTCAACTCTGCATCATGTGCCTGCCTGATTTGGATTGGTTTCACTTTCTTTTTGTTTGACCGTAGCCCATTCTATCAGTCAAGATGATTGAATAATTGTGTATCAAATACAACTCATGATAAGGAGAAACTTTATGGAAACAATAAGTTTTATGGCAATCGAAAGGGAATTATTTATATGTACTTCCTAATATTATGCTTCCCAATATTTTCTCTTACTAAAAATAACAAAAATATTTAAACCTTCTGAAATCTATTCCGTTATCATTAGGATTTGCACACAATGCAACTAACAATTCATGCTTTAAAAAAGTAGGTTATTTCTGTTGAAGAGAAAATTATCAGCAAGGAAGAGTCTACTAGAAAATTCATGTGCTAGTCACTCTTGGGGATTTAATATTTCACTGGAGTTAATTCACTATATCCAGACCTATATCTTTCATTTATTGCTGAGCCATGTGCAGTCTGGTATCTCAACAACCTCAACAACCTCCAAGACATGTCAGTTTCTGTAGTGTTCACCTCAAATTTGACATTTGAATCGGAACTGATTTAGAAACAACCACTTCATTCATCTAGTATAGATTCATGACTTCTCACTAACAATGATAGTATAATTCTGCCTGTTCTTCAGGATTGAAATTTTGAACTCAGTTTAGATTTCTTGTTTTCCCTCATATACCACATCTAAACAGTCTCCAAATCCTTATGCTTTTTTTTCAAAAAAATTCACCCAATCCCTAGGCTTTTTTCTTTACTTTTTTTTTCTTTTTCCTTTTGTTTTGTTATGTTTTCTTAGACAGGGTCCCACTCTGTCACCCAGGCTGGAGTGCAGTGGTGCAATCACGGGTCACTGAAACCTCCCACCTAGCTGGGACTACAGGTGCAGGCCACCACACCAGCTAATTTATGTAATTTTTGTAGAGATGAGCTTCCCTATGTTACCCAGGCTTGTCTTGAACACCTGGGCTCAAGCAATCTTCCAGCCCCAGCCTCCCAAAGTGCTGGATTACAGATATAAACCACAATGCCCCCATTTTTACTCTTTACTGAATCCTTCCCATCAGTATTAATTCCTCAGAAATTTAGTACATTCCTCCACCCTTTCAAAATGCTCCCAGAACTCACACTAGTTGGTACTTAACCACAACCTTCAACCTCACCATTTAATTTTGATGTATATTTTTGGGTTTACCTACAGTACTTTCTTTCATGACTACTTTGATTTAGTTAAGAATGCTCACTGTACACTGAATGTTAATTACTCAGCTAATTCACACTGATTTCCTGTTTAAAAATATGATCCCCTCCAGGCCATTCATGTGAAGTCAGGGTACAGCTGATGCCAGCTACAGACTTACTGTGTTTCAATATGGAATATCAAAAGTACTAACATATAATTACAAATCCTTTTCTACTGAGGTATACAAATTTTATCATTACAAAATAGTATCAGCTTTTTTCACTTAAGGAAAATATTACATCTTGATTCAAATGTTCAGTACATAAATAATTGCCTTAAAGTGAGTCTTTGTTGTGGAATTTGAGAGTTTTGGAAATCAAAGGCCCTTGTGAAACATTTCCTGTTGCCGTTTATTTATAGATAGCAGTAGCTTCAAATAAGTGGGAAAGTCTGCTTGGGTGAAGTGGTAGATAGTCACTAAGATTGTATAAATAGCGCATTTGTGAGTTGCGTAATTGTTTTCTCCAACAATAACCACTGGTCCATTGGTTCACTACTTACTCAAGAAAGACATGTACTGAGATGGCTTGAAATGTTTAATGCATGTGAACGTTATTTTTACCATGTTTTGAAATAAGACCTTTATGGTATTGTCTTCCTTTGTTTTCCACAATCAAATGCATCTAACTGTGAATTGTATATGGAATTATATTATTCAGCATATACATATATTTACCTGCTTTGTTCATTCTGTGTATTCAAAATTAACAGATCATGCTGAAAACCACTCAAATGATTATATTTTTTACATTATAAGAAGTAAAATATATTATTCTGAATAATGAAACTGGGCTGTTGGACTCGCAACGATTTTAGTACATAAAAAAGAATTCAATTCTCATTACTTATCATAAAGGTACAGAATCTTAAGATCAAAAAAAAATTGTTTCCACACTCTGCTTTTATTTCCTTTAATTGGAATTGTTAATAGTTGCCTTTTAATTACAAGTACTCATCCATATATTATAATTTATTTGTCAAACAAATTAGTACACTATGTCCTAACAATCTATACATTTTAAATTTACTCTGCTACATATGTATTTTCATCACTCATTTCATATATAATTGTACAAATATAGTCATGTATATTTAAATATATGTTATATAACTATACATTACATAACTTCTTATCCTGACTATTGTATTTGGCCTAGCCCATCTCTATACCGGAAGAAAAAAGACAATGACACTAAACTAGCTATAACTATTTAGGTCTTTTGTTGATTCTTCCATCAGCTGCTCCTCCTCTTATCTGTTTTTTAGCAAATTAGCATTTTTATTTAGTGTTTCCAACTTCTGACTTTAAGTGTTTTCTCAGGGACTTTGGCTGGGATGTACTTTAATCACTTTCCCCACATTTTGCTAGGTAGAACAGAAAACCTTGCTTTTGTTGGTCCTGCAGGTCCAGTTTCTGAACTACTTTCAACTACATAGCTAGTTTCTTGGTTAGAATTACTCAGAGTACTTATAAATATAAGAAAGATTTAGATAGTCGGTGCATGGTAATTTATTGTACCAGGAAAAGAGAGAGAGAGAGAGAGAGAGAGACTTTAATCTTATAATAAAATGGAGCATTAGGACAATGAATATAATTTCCTCATCAATTTAGCCACAGATTATAAAATTTCTAGCCCAGTCAGTTTGAAATACAACAGATATATCTGAATCACAAAACTGAAAAGACCAGAGGAATTTGACTTGAGTATAGATAGATTCAGGGTAGCATATTAGGCCAATAAAACTCAGGCTATCTTTGGCTCATGATTCTGCTGCCCAGTATATTTTGCTTTTGTTTTCTAGTTGCACAAGGTTTCAATATGACTTTCAGAATTTAGGGTGCACATCTTTTCAGGGTAAAGTCTTCTAAAAAACTGTGGATTATCCTACCTCAAATAATTGAGTTAAAGTCCTGGCTTCACGCTCATTGACCCAAATGTCTTAGGTCACCCTTGAAGCTAACATCATGTGTAGAGAAATATGACTGTCTGATTGAACAACGTTGATTCACAAGTCCACTCCTAAATATCTTTCTGGTGTAAACACTATCTGAAACTTGTAATCTGACTAGCAGGGCTGGGACTAGATTAAGGCAAATGAGGTAATCTCTTCAGGCACAACATTTAAGGGAACATTAAAAAATCTCAGTAACCAAGATAAATAATATGGTAATGCAACATGTTTAAAAAATTAAAATTACAGCAAACATCCATGATAAATAAAATATCAGAATTTTTAAAAAGACAGGATTAATAACCAAGTCATATTGGAATCTAAGACAAAAGGAAAAACTAGTAATACTAATAATTTTTAGTAAATGTAAAATATTTCAAATTTAATTATTGTTTAATATAATAAAAATACTAACATGTATAAGCTAAATTATTATTATCAATAGAGAAAGACAAATCATTTAATGAAAGTTAATGCTTGTTTCATGATTAAAACTTTTAGCAAACTAAAAAAGAGACATGATAATATGAGGATGGATAGCAACTAAAAACATGCAATAACATGATGCTAAGTGTTAAAATTTTAAGAACATTTCCACTAAAGTCCACTATCTGTGCTATACAACATATTCAAGCAATCTTAATTTGTAACTAACGCAAAAACGCAAGGAACAGAAATTAGATATAAATATTACATTATATTTTAGTTATATAATATGCTTATCATAATTGAAAATTCAAGATAATCTGAAGCATAACAATTAGAAATAAATAATACTGGAGTTTAGCAAGATTGCTATATGAAAGTTCAACATACGAAATTGAAACAGGAAAAGTACCCTTGTCCGGATAGGGGCATGTGACGGGTGAGGGGCTTGCTTCTTCAGTGCCCGGCTGCGCAAACCTCTATGAGAGCATACAGACAAGCAGGCCATGGGGCTCCAACCCCACGGCAGTGACTAGGGGTGGATGTTCAGAGCTCCTGAAGCCCCAGTGGGCGTGTGTTACAGGATGCTCTTTTAGTTCTGCTCTTTTAGTTTTGCCGTCTGTAGGCTTGTGTTAACCAGCTCATAGCCCTCCTTACTTATCACAAGGACGGAAGGGTTTCTGTATTCCAGGGTTTCTTGCCTTGGTATACCGGAAGAATCAGATCACGCGCGGGCTTGGAGAATGAGTCCAAGGTTTTATTGAGTAGAAGTAGTTCTCAGCAGATGTGGGAGCCA